CCGCGCCTTTGCCCGATTGCCGGCCGGGATTGGCTCCACAACCCCGTTCAGGGACAAGCGGTAGAAAATGAATGAATGAATTTCAGGTTCATTGTTTACCTGCTAACCTGCTTTTGCAGAATCTCAGTGGCAACATGAAGTGTTAATGGCCTCGGGCTGGTGGAAGGTGTATACCGTGTAGCCAGCCTATATACTAAATGTCAACATCACACCACTTCTTAAAGTCCTTTTGGAGTGTTTATTTTCTCCTTTAACACAAACTCACAATCTTTTCCTGTACCCCCTACATTATGTGTTCAGGATGTGAAGGTTTTGCCAACTAGCACCCAAACACATGTGACCCTGCTAGCTACTATCTGCTGGCTACTGAAATTTCAGTTTTATTAGGCCACCCTGACAACCCACAACACGTGATGTGTGTGGTTGGATGTGTGGCTGCGTCTTCCGCTGCAGTATGAATACTTAGTAAAGTTTCACAGGAGTAGAGAATGTCTTCTCATTTCTTTAGATAATCAAATCCTGCTTCCTCTATGGTTAAAACTGTGCATGAGTTTGTTTAAGTGTGTGTCATGCAAAATGTTAGAATAAGACATTAAAGACCTGGGATGACACACACTCCTAGACGTCAAGTTTGTTGTATATAGACTAATCAATGCAATGCTCCAACGCCCAAACCACTCTGATAAGCAGGAAGGCAGACACACTGTAGGTCTATATCTCACACACACACAGATTAGAGTCATGGTAGAAGCCTCTAAGTACCTATTTATAAGTGTTGTGACTTATTCTAATGGACTGTGTACAGGAGTCACTTGAGTGTGTCTCTTTATGGGGACTCACACAAGTTTCCCACAAGGTTAACCATTACGCTTCAGGCTTTAGACTCTGGTTTTGGTTCAGGGCGTGCACGTGTGTGTGTGTGTGTGTGTGTGTGTGTGTGTGTGTGTGGTCTGTTCAAGGTCACAACTTTACAAATCATATAAGGAAACACTGAAGCAACCTAAAGTGGAAAAGTCTGCCACTTAGATGAGATAGTTTCACCAGTTTGAGACAGAAATCAACTTAAAGACTTGGCGATAGCCACATCTCATTTTAATTGATTCCACTGCACTGATATCTTTGGTTTAAGAGACTTTCCTGAAGAGTGTTTGTCATTTGTGCTTCAGGAATGACTGCATGAGTGTGGGACAGCTTTACAGGGGGATGACGAACCTGCTGACCTCTACATTTGACACCTTGCTGTTGTGTCACCTAATGAGCTCCTACGGCTCATTCGTCATCCACTAAACAGCATGTCTCTGTTTCAGGTACAACTATAATGGTATTGATCTGAACAGGAACTTCCCCGATGCTTTTGCTGGTCCCCAAAGGCCACAGCAGTTTACTGAGGAGAACAGGGAGGCAGAGGTTGGTCAGCAGTGCAAAATTTGCCGGTATAAGTAAGAGTCATTCAACCATTCATCCATCCATCCATTTTCTAAACCGCTTAGGAGTCATTCATTGAGAATAAAAAAATAGTTCAGTTAGAGATAAGACGGTAGACACAGCAGCTTTTGTAGTGGAAGGACAACGTGAAAGTGTCAGGTGTCTGTAAAGGAAACTATTTTTTGGGAGGGGAAGAATGTTTGATGAAGATCTGTTTGCTGCAGAGGCTGGGTTTGTTTCATTCTTCTGCCCCACTTGTCAAACCTTCGCCCTCGGTGTGTTGTGTTTCAGGTGAGGGCTGTGATTGGCTGGTTGAGGACTGAGAGTTTTGTTCTCTCTGCTAACCTTCATGGAGGAGCTCTGGTGGCCAGTTATCCTTACGACAACAGCAACGGAGGTAAACACATGCACAGAAGCTACTGTAATATCTGGACTATAAGCCGCTACTTTTTTCACATGCTTTGAACCCTGCAGTTTAAACAATGATGCGGCTAATTTATGGATTTTTACGAGCTAACGAGCTTCATGCTGCCAATACATTTAGCCTCGTCACATCAGGCCAATGAAATTACCAAACAGGTCACAGTGGAGCAATGAAACAGCCTATATATGTACAAAATTTTTTGTACATATATAGGCCATATATGTGACACATGACTCCATACTGAGGTCTGGTTGTACCTGCCCTGAGTGTACTGGCATATATTTAGTGGGTGTGGTTTATATTCAGGTGCGCTCAATAGTCCGGAAATTACAGTATTACTTCATAGTAGTTTCTGCATAAAATTCAATAAGTGAAACAGCAGGATAACTTCAAGTGACTCAAAGTTATGCTGTACATCATGTACAGCTGTATTTTACAAAACAAAAAGTCCCTTTTCAGCCCTACAGGTGAGATATGTTGTCTCATCCTCGGGTCATCCATCAGAGGCCTGGGAGTGTGAGGGATCAGCACAGCATCTTAGCTGTTCCTAGCACTGCACCCTCTTGCACAGAGAGCGCTGATGTTGTTCCAGTGATCTGTTGGAGCTACTCTCCCACCTTGGGAGTCACCACCCTGAGTGCTCCTGGGACCACGGGGACCACTCTGGCCTCCAGTTCCCACATCCTCTCAGTTCCTGTCAGGCCTCAGTGCTTCTCTAGCTTCTCCTTCTTCCTGATGCTGCTGTCACTAGCTACATCTATATTCACTGCTGCCTTCTGTTCCTTGCCTGTGACTATGATGTCCAGTTGGTTAGCCAGTACCTTCCTACCTGTCTGGATTGAAAATCCCAGTGTCATTCTCCTGGGGATTCTTCCACCTGCACCTGGGAGGGTCTAGCCTACACTCAGCCCAGATGTTTCTGTACACAGTGCCAGCTACATGGTCTCTGAACTGTCTGCACCTGGGGATTAGTGCCTGTTACACCAACACAGAGAGTCTCAGTGAGGAGCTGGGCCACCACGTGCTCCCAGAACAGCTCCACCTTGACTCTCCAGGTCTCTGAACCCTCCTGGAGGGATGAGCACCATTCTTCCAACAGATGTTCCCTCATGTGGTGTTTTGATGAGGGTGGTGGAGATGCTGTTTAACATGTTGCACCAACATCTCCCATATCTCCAGGTCACTGTCACCATGGAGGAGACCGCTCAGTTATTCAGGTCTGTATACTGTATATACTATTTACATGCCTGTTGCTGTTCATTTCTCCAGGCAGCGAGCTGGTGGCTGGGGCCAGCGTTGCCCCTGACAATGACGTGTTTGTTCACCTGGCCAAGATGTACTCCAACAACCACGCCACCATGTCCCAGGGTAAATCCTGCCTCGACAACACACTGTTCCAGGATGGCATCACCAACGGATACCAGTGGTACCCTCTCATAGGTCTGCATGTCGCCTCCAAGTCACAACAGTTGGGACTTGATAAAATTTTTTCTTTTTTTAATAATAAAACTGATTAAAATATATCGGTTATTTAATAGTGAATTAGAAATACCCCAGAACATGATGTCCTCATAAGCAGCAATAAGCATGTCAAAGTTAATGTAATAATAATGCCTTAATACAAATTCCTTTCAACGCCACCAATTTTTTTGATGCACAATTCATGCACACATATTCTGTGATTATGACCCTCGGCCTGCCCAGTAGTTTGGGAAATCGGGAAGCTTCATAAACACAGATGTTAAGGTGGAAGAGTTGCACTGAAATGCATACAGTACAATAGTACATGTGTACCTAATAAAGTGGCCAGTGAGTGTATATGCAAGTGGCGCAGATCTGATCTGAGAACACCTAACTTTGTGAGTTCACACTACTGTGGAAACATCCGATCTGTGCCATATGTGGTGTCTCCTCGTCCGCCTGCAGAGCCATCACACCATCAGGCCGGACATGAGGGATTTATGCAATAGTCACAAAGAATCCGTGATTCTGTTTGGTGTGAAATAATTTCAGATAAGCACATGACTGTGTGTTTGTAGGTGGGATGCAGGACTATAACTATGTGTGGGCCCAGTGTCTGGAGTTGACTCTGGAGGTGTCCTGCTGCAAGTTTCCTCCAGAAGGAGACCTTCCTGCTCTGTGGAAGGAAAACAGGAAGGCACTGCTAGCCTTCATCCAGCAAGTCCACCTGGGTCAGTACCTGTCTGTCTGTGTGCTGACTTGCCTCCTCTGAAACTGAAACTGAACCAGAATCCATATGTAATAATAATTTGATACTTTCTGTGGATGTGTGTTAATTTGTGTTTAGGGGTCAAAGGTCGGGTTTTCGATGGTTTTGCTGTGCCGGTGCACAATGCAGTGGTAGAGGTCAAAGGTCGAATGAATATGAGTCCATTCAGAACCAACCAACATGGAGAATACTACAGACTGCTGCTACCTGGAACCTACAGCTTCACAGTAAACACACACAGTGATACAGTGGGATTGTGGGATACACTGGTGGGATTGTGGTTACTACAGTTGTACTCTCATTAACTTCTCTCCTTCTGGTCTGTGATCTCTTTGATTGACAGGTGACATACCCGGGTCATGAAGTTTTGACAGAGACACTTAACGTGCCATACGGTCCTGATAAGTACTCAGCGATGACACACGACTTCCTGTTACGACGCCTCAGAACAACAGGCCGCACCCCAGTAAACCCCATTCTATCTATCAGTGACTACGCATTAGACCTGGAGCGAGGTGGAGCCATCACCAGGTCCAGATGGACAGGTCTAGTGGTGGGGCTCAGCCTGACAGCAGCACTGTGGTCCCTGATCGACTGAAGCAGCCTGGTGCTCATGTGACGGCCTCACCTGCTGCAGTGTCTCTGAGCAACACTGAACCCTCAACCTGCAAGAAACAATAGAAAAAAATATGTGGTCCACCAGAGGTTTCTGAGGATATATTTTGAAGCCTGGAGCTGGAGTCTACATCTCTTTACCAGCTTTGCCAACACTAAAGTCTTCTAATTTCAGTTCAAAAGGGTGAATCAGGGTGGAGGGTAAAACCCCTGGTCACATGACAAAGTGGCACACAAATGTTAACATAATATGTGGCCTGCTAGCTTAGTAACGTGATAACAGGGTTTTGGCTTGTCCCAGCAAGAACAGCATGGGTGTAAATAATGAAATAATTCTAAAATCTATTTATCTGCTTCAATTTCAGGGTTTATTTAGTTTGTAAGGGACTGTGAACAATATTAAATAAAACATTTACTGCATCAGAGTTAGCTCATTTTCATCTGCAATCCCTTGTTAAAACATTGTGACCACCACTAAAACACATGATAAAAAGTTTATGTTGCTGTTATCAGCTGTGCTGTTGCTACTGTGACAAAACGAAACCTTGGCTGCTGCAGAGCTACTGTACCTGGTTGGCTTACAGCTAACACGCTAGCAGCCTGGAACATCACCAGTGCTCTTTAGTCACAATGGCTAAGCTAGCTAGCCAGCTCACATATCAGAACAAATTTGTTGTGCTAGACAATATGTTCACATTATTTGTACCTGCAGGGCTAATTGGTAAACTGGTAGAACTAGAGAGCCCTATGGTAGCCAATCAGCAACATGCTAGTAGTAGTCAGTCACAGTAGCCAAGCTAGCCATGGAGTTCATTCTCCACCACATGAGGTTATATAACATATGATAGTGCAAAACAACTAATAGGCTACCGATGCTTCCTCCATTTTGGACTCGCAAATCAGCACTGTCCACACACTTTGGTCAGAGGCTGAAATGTCCAGGGTTCAGCAAAATTGAAGTAGATGCAAAAAATTTGTACAGCTACTTTACCCCTGTGAGTGAATAATTTATTTTGCTGCAGTTTGAATGTTGCTGTGAAGCAGCCTTATAGCAGTTCTCTTTAAGCCTTATTACCTTAATAATGGAGAAATGATTTTGAAGACCTCCTAAGAAGTGAAACAAACTACAGAAGAGCTGAATAGTTGTGAAAAAATGTATTGATGTAGTATTTATAAAGAGAAGGGGTTTTTTCTATTTCCAACCCACACTAGGGTCTCTAAGACAAAACTCCATTCAGAAATGTAGAATTTAAGGGCAAAGACAGAAATAAACCTCAGGAGGGTTACAGCAAAAGGTTGTAACAATAATAGAAACACAAAGTGCAGCTACACTGCCACAAATTCTGCAGTCTCTCAGGAACAGAAAGGTTTTAAATCTGGATTTGGCTTCTTGAAAAGGCAGCTGAGAGTTTGTTGTATTAAAGGGGGTAAAGGGGTCACAGAAGGAGAAGGTTCCACTCCCTGAGGAGATTTGAGACAGTCAAGAAGACATCTTCCCTGTTGAGATGTCAAAGCATGTGAAGGACTAGGTAGTGCTAAGGTTCATTAAGTGTGGTGGAGCCAAACTATGTGAGGAGAAGGAGGAGGAGCACTTTAAAATTTGTGCTTACAGACTGTTTTTAGGAAGGGTAGAGAAAATGACACAACAGGTGTTGAATGTGGAAATATCAAAGACACCTGCTGCGAAATGAAACGACCCATGTGACACATGACTCTATACTGAGGTCTGGTTGAGGACACGAGGAGTCATCAGACATGTTCTTACAGGCATCCATCCCTGTATCTCACTCCATTCGCTCCTACGAGACAGTTTAGTCCAGTGGCCCCCAGCCTAGGCCTTGAGACGCCTCAATGGGGTGGCAGAATAAACCTGAGGGGACACAGGATTATTAACAGGACAAGAAATAATTATTAGTAATATTCTAAAATACTGGATAGTTTTACATCTTCAGGCCTTGAAAAACAAAATATTGCCAACAAAGGATACGAAAATGCAGCTTATGTTGGAGTGTCTCTAAATCTACTGTAGCTTCTTTTACTACACAACAACAACAATAACAGCAGAGGACATCCTGCTCCAACACCCTGTGCAGCATCAAAAAATATTTACATACACAACATATGTATACTCCCACCATAACAAACATGAATAAAACAAAAATTAGTAACAGTAAAAAAAAAGAAAGTAGTTATACATCTTGAAAAACTGTTACTGAAATTAAAATTTGTGAAAAGATGTTTGTGTGGAAGTGAATGTACAGAGAAGGAAGGAAGAGAAGAGAAAATATTAAAATAAAATTAACTATAAAAAGTAAATGGAAAAATGGAACAAATAATTAGTGAGATAAAATAAGTCAGAGACATCACCTGGTGGCAGAAGCTGTGTAGCACATCCACAAACTTCAGGACTACAAATAACACCAAACTGTGAAGCCTGCATCTCAAACTTAAAATTTGGATTATAACTATTAACCTGAATGTAAAGGAAAGAAAATAAAATGACAGATAAACGTGAGTTAATTTCAGTTACACTAAGAAATAACTGGTACAACTTGTACCCGTTACAAAGAACAAAAGGTTGGGAGCCACTGGTTTAAATGAAAAACAAGGGTAACCTAATTACTAGGAATCACACTGTACACCTCAGCTCATACAGCATCTGTACACAGTATTTATTTATACACAGCATATACACTGATATGTATCAAGTTCAGAGCAGCTCCGATAACAAAACAGGTCTAAGTCCTGTTTTAGCACAGGGTCAGATGTCAGTGAACCCCTGACTCATCCTACTCGGCATCAATGTGCAGCTCATTTCAGTCATCTTCAGGACAGAAACTCAGCAGCCTTCTGCACATTTCCCCTCATTCATATGTTATTTTTGCCAAATATCAGGCTTTTATACTTTTCTACTGTTTGATATTGAATAGTTCTGTAAAAAAGATCTTCTGTGCCATGTTGTAAGTGTAGTGACTGCAGGCTTCGGTCACACCTGAAACATTAGACCTCGGTATAGCCTTTGCATTTCTTCTGTTTCATGTTTCATTACACTATAAAACACCACAGTGGATCCTCTTACTGAATCTTGCTTTGGCTTTGACCTGAAGTAAACTGTCACTGCTCAGCACGTTTGGGCCTTGAAGTGAAGCATATAATAAAAATACAAAATGAAAAAGAAAATTTTACACTGTCAATTGTGTTGGTGGTCTTTGTTATAGGCTTATAACTTAAAATTAGTCCTCAATTCCTGGTTTGGCTGTTGATCCCTATGAATCCCCTGAAACAGATTTTTAAAAAGTTGCTAATGATAGCAACAAAAGTGCACATTATTACATTTTACATCATAATTGTGAAACATTAATTTGAGGTAGAGTCACAATTATGCAATATGACATAGTGAAACTACAAACAAAAATTGACAGGTAAGTAAAGTATAAATCAAACATACTTGATACTTGGGTATCTAGTGAATTTTCATAAATCTAAATTTTGTGATAGCAAGTCAATCACTAATAGGTTTGTTTCAGTACTCGATTCACCGAAACGCATCATTTTCATTTAATATCACAGGACCTCATATCATATTTCATAATTTCTCATAAGAGAGATTTTAATTTGTGTTATTCCTAATCTAGAAAACTATTAAATACTATTAGTGACAAAAATATAAAAAGCCAGGAGTTACATGTTACGGCAGTTATACACGTTCTACAACGTCTCTTTATTTAAAGCTTTAAACACTATAAATCATGACATCCGCGTTTTCATTTCCGAAAACCATGTTATTTTCTCCTTTGGCACTAATGGGCTTCCGTACCTCCCCACACCTGACACCGATTATCTCGTTTAGTGTTGAACGAACCTTTTTCTGGAGAAACCTGAATTTTCGTGATTACAAACGGGAAATTTTGCCCCAGCATGACGAGAAAATGACATTTCCCATCTTTGCTGTTTTCGCCCGGAATTACCTGAAAACAAACCAGGCTGGTGAAGGGACCGTAACGGAGGCGCGGTGCCGCTGAAGCAGGTAGCCTATCCTCACACCAGCGAAGTTAAAAACACACAATCTTTGGTGTTCTAGTTTGATAATGTATATGAATAATCAATTAGGTATAAATTATTATCTGCAAATTAGTTATGTGTTCATCAGCTGTTCCGTTATTGTACTGATTGTTCTAGCTCAAGAACATAGCTTCGGTACCACAAGCTAACGTTAGCTAGCTAGCTTAACGTTACAGGAGCAAAATAAGTTATTTCTCACATTTAATAATGAGTAAGAAACCAACGACAAAAATGCGCATACAACTATAACCGAAGAGACACTGGTATTTTCACTTTTAATACTTTAAGCACATTGACTTGTTTCCTTCCGGCAGTTCGTTTGGTTTTCCAGCCAGACCACATCAGACCAGGGCTAGATCAAAAACCACTTTACCTGGACTTGTCAAATCTAGACTGTGTACCCTGGCTACAGCTGCATCAACAGGGAGAGTACAAAGCAGATTGATTATAGTGAAACGTTATAACTATGGCAGCTCACTGTCGCACGGCCTGAGATACGCGAAGAAATAGAGGCATTAATAGCCTCATTCACTCTGATAGAAATCTTTAGGCCGCCTTGTCTTCCACATAAAGATGGAAATGCAGGAACAATAGTTTATAATGCATCCATTATTAGATGCTTGACAGTAGAGTTTGTGTGTCTGTAATTTGGGAAGGTGTTAGATTTATAAAACACACTGTTTTCCTGCAGAACTTCACCTGACGTGGACAAACAGGTGAAGATGTTTCACCAGAGCCTCCTGGTGAAGTTTGTAAGTATTTGTACTTTAACATTCGTTTCTGTTTCTTACTGTTGATGAGCACTAACAGCTGATATTTACAGCCAGACTGTTTGAATTCAATCCAGAAACATTGGCTTGTACTGCAGTAAATCCTAACAGCAGCCACCACCAACTTGCTCTTGCTCTGCTGATCAGCCACTCAGTAATGTAGAGATAAACACAACAACACTGCCCCCTGTGGTCTGCATGGAGAACTTCACTCTGCGCCAGCAACAGATTCAACATCCTCCACTGTAGCCTCCTGTCGTCTTCTTTCTGCGTTTTCTTTTTCTCTCTTTTACTTCTGTCTTTATTCATAATGTCTGCTTAAAATAAGCAAAGTCAACCATCTGGAAAAGGTCACTTGCCACAATTTTTTAGAAACAATTAACTAGTCTCAAAAGCCCACAGATTAAAACTAGTGTAGCCAGATTAAAAACAAATACTTGCTACGAAGCAGTTTTGCACTTGTCAGTGTTGCTTTATAATTGTGGGCGTACTAATTTATAGCTTTCAGCTACTCAGAACCAGGACTAAAATCTCAGTAGTGAGTTATCTTATTAAGATAACCGAGGACAAAAAGCTTGAAACAAGTGAAATGTTCTAACATAATCCTGTCAGACAGAAAAAGCATCTATTACCCTTGATGTCACTTGTTGCAGCGTACCACTGACAACACCAGAGAAGGTGTGTGGGACATGTTTTTGTAGTTTACAGAGTTAGAGATTTGTAGTTTTTCATTCAGTATAATTGAAGCTAGTAAACAGACAGAGGTGTCTCATTAAACTGTGTCCAGTGAAGGCTCAGCACCGTGGAAATCATATTCACTTCCTGCAGGAGCTGCTGAGAACAATCGGTGACTTTCTTCGCCCTGCAATTGAGGTGTGTGTAGCACACAGGGAACTTGTTAGCTCAGTTGATTGTGTGTGTTTGGGTGGCATGAGTCACTTTAAGTTGAGGCAGTAAGTACTTCTGAGAGCGTTTTGTGCTCTGGTGATGTTGCATTTAACGTTGGGTTGGAACTCAACCAATCACAGAGTAGAGTCTGGCTTTTACTATTGTAAGCTGGCCCAGCAGGGGGGCCCGTAGCAACTCCTGTTTCACGGTTTATGTGTACACTGAGTTGTGAGTTTATTAGGTACATCCATTTTAAGTTAATAGTTGTATCAGAAAATAGTTATTGATCTGTCAGTCCACAACTACAAAGTAGGAAATTTGAGTAGAACAGCTTTCTGTACGTGCTGCATGAGAGATGTGGAAAATTATCTTCTGACATCTGAAATGTGTGTGTGTGTGTGTGTGTGTGTGTGTGTGTGTGTGTGTTTAGGGAGCAGTTTGGTTTCCTCCAGGTGTGTTTCCAGCTGTTCTGTATCTCTTGTTCTAATCCCACTTTGAGAAATGCACCAGTTAAAGTGATTCTGCCCGACTTGGGTCAGCTTCCTTGTGCAGAATTAAAGAAGCTTGAGATTCTGTTGAGCCCAGTGGAGAGGCTTTGGTCCCTCAGCAGCTCTCTCTCCCTCTCTCTCTCTCTGTTTCCTCCCTCCCCTCCAGTTCCTCTCTGCTCATGGAGACATTTAACCCTCTCTCCTTGCACAGACAGAGGACAGGAGACATTTCCTTCGTCTCTCTCCTTGGCCTGCTAGATCTTCTTTCTCTTGTTCACTTGTCCTTTCTTTTCACTCTGAGGTTGGACTCAGATGAGAGATGGGATGTGGAAACTCCTCACCAACCAGCAGCAGCAGCACCGGAGGTGGGCAACAGTGTGTGTGTCACGTTAGTGCCGAGTATCGAGCTTGGATACTTTTATGGCATCAGTGGAATTACTTCAACACCATCGCATATCGAAAAATACTGAACATTAACACTGGTAAATAATTATGTATTTAACAGAAGTTAAGACTGTGGTAAATAAGTTTATCTTTTATGTGATTAAACTACTTTGAGTTCACAAAAATCCCAAGGATTTGAAAAAGTAAACTAATGATCTGTACCAGAATGTGTAATGTATGTTAGGATCACTAAAAGGTAACAGATAGCAGCACACAGTGTCTCCGTGCAACAACGTTTTCTACAGCTCATAATGTTGAAACAGGAAATAAAGGCTGGAATAGGTGGTTTGCAAATGTGATTATTAGGACGTGTGAAACTCAGATGAGAGCAGGAAGTGACAAACAGAATGAAGAGATGGAGAAAAGTCTGTGGTGCTAGTTTAAATGATATTAGGAGAAAAGTTATTAACACAAAACTGCAGCATATGTGGAACCTGATCCTTATAAAGAGGAGCGATACATTTCATTTTCTTTCTACATTTCATTCTATTCCAACAGAACTGAACGACTTTACTGCTATGGAGGCAAACTGTCCTGTGCATAGACGTAATGGAACATGTGTCTGTGGTCCTGCAGATTCACCCAGAAACAAACATTCAGTGCACGGTGCCTCTCCACATTAATGTTATGGTTGTTTACTTAACATAGGTTAACTGCTCTCAAAGGTCTGGTGACACACCACTAAAGATGTCGGATGATCATCGTGAAACAGGACGAAGAAGTCACTGCAGCTCGTGGCAGTTCCACAGCAGGTTAGCTACATAAGCGGTCTCTGCACAGCGGAGCATTTGCCCACTCCGCTCCTCCTGGCCACAGACAAAGGCTTTGCAAGCCATTTTTGTCGGTGCTGTGTCGAAGCATCTTACTTCTTCTCTTCAGTGTCCAGCAAATAAAAATGCATCGGCCTTGCTGTTTTTGGAGGGGACTATTAGTGTGTTTTAATATTTGATGTGTGTGTCCTCAGCGGAGAGCGACAGGGACCTGGGGTCACTCAGGAGGCCACTGTTGGGGAATGGACTCTTGACGCCAACGAACATCCAGGTGTGTTTCTCTAGCTTTTCGTGAACCAGAGTCGAGGCGTCGAGTGCTGGGTTTTCTTTTATTCATCAGTGATCCCAAATGAAAGGCTGTGAGAACCAGCATGTGATCAACAGGACCAGTCTGCCCAGTTATTTAGAGACAGAGTTCAGTGTTTGAACAGTGACTGATTTTTGTATCTGCAGCTTAGTTTTCATACTGTCCATGCACGAGCTGAGCACACTGAGCGACACAAAGGTGTGAGAAACATTTTTGGTCCTCTGAAAAATGTGACAGTATAATTAATGGTCGTAAAGAGAAGTTGGAATTTAAAGAAGTAACAGAAAGCTTTCCTTTAGGACGCATTCACTTCAAAATAAAAGCTCTACAGACAAAGACTGTCACAGAGGGCCCAGCAGAGCCTTGTCTCCAGAGCAGCTTCAGTTAAGTTGTGTAATAATGGGCTTAAAGCCGATCTTTACTGTAACTCCTACTAATTAAATCATATTTACTTGATAAATGGACTCAACCAGAGGCGGTCATCGTCACTGGGTCCACTGTCTAATTCATTTGTCAGTTCTAACCAGAGAAAGTGTCTACTTCCTGGGAGTGAGTCACCTTTGTCTTGTGTGTCTCTGTGTGAACCCACAGCTGCTGCAGGAGGATGAGTGAGGAGAGGAAACCCTGCAGGCTCCTCGGCGCTGTTGCCAGGAGCCCGGCCGGTCTCCAGCAGAGCCAATCATCTCTCTCAGCGTCCCCCACTCAGGAGCTAAGTGACTGTGGAGCCTGTTGTTTTGCCATGACTGACTGATGACAGACTGGTGTGCTGTTCATGGAAACATGTCCACCTGCACTTTTTAAAGCTGTGAGTTTGCCGTGCAGGCCGTGGCAGGAGGCTGCAGGCTGTGACTCCACTGGGAGCTCGTCATTTGGCTGCATGCTGTGTAAAGCAGCACAGCAGTCCATCTGTCAGCAGAGGACAGAGGGGTGAGTAGGAGATTTGTCTTATTGTCAGCACAGGAAAAGACCACAGTGAATATCTCCCACTAACAAGTATGGTGTGACGTGTTTCTTTGTGAAGCTTCGTGTCACAGCTCTTGTGTTTCCCAGAAAACCTTCTGGAAACTTCCTTATAATTTCCTAAAAATGAACTGGTGTTTAGCTGTAAACTTCCAAGAAAGTCCTCTGTAATTTGGTCCTAATTATCAGGGAGAAAGAGAGAAAATCAGAATCGGGCCAGAAAGTTGCAGTCGGTTAATCTCTAAATATTACAGCTTTATCCTTTAATACAAATGCGACCATCCGTCACACTGAGCAGCAGCAGCATGCGCTCATATTTTGCTATATATAATATTAAGACCAAAGCTTCCAGAGACCTTCGCTGTCTAATAGCAGTAGCAGCTCAACCTGAACTTACCTGGAGTTTGGTTTGTGTGGAATAAGGACCTGCAGGCTCTTGTCTCAGTCCCCAGGGGCCCCCCAGCAGGCAGTTTCTGCTGCAAGAGGTTGTTGTGGTCTTCTTGGAGCATTCACACACATACAGCTGAGTTTGTTGTCGTTTACCTTTGTGTTTGTCTGGCACCGGCTCTCACTGTTTGTGCAGGAAGCTGCTGACTGCTAAGTTTGCACACAGGCCGAGTGATTCACTTGAGTGATTGCTGGAATTCTTTGTCTTCTCTGATATTAAACCAAATATGTTTTGGACTCATGATCAGCCACTAAAACCATATGGATTTTACATTGATATCACAGAGAGGGCTGCACGATTCATTGTTTTGTGAGCGTGATTTAGATCCCTGTGTGATCTGTCTTACATCACATTGATTGTCATGTTTGCATTAGCAGGGAGATCCCTTGCATCAAATTAAGTGCGCCCTTTGCGGTGTATTTCTGTCTCAGCTGCTGTTTGGCGCTAGGTGGACAGGGCAGGCAGTGCAACCTCTGAACAACAAGACAACACAGAACATCTTTCACAATGTCAAACATGTAGGATTCGTTTTTGAATCAGTGTTCTCTTCCTGTCTGCAGCTCAATACGTGATGCAGTGCGTTCCTGCTATTGGTTAACGCAGCTTGGTGAGGAAAAGGGAGAGCTTGGTTTGTTGCCAGGCATCTCCCTGTTAATGCAAACACGGCATCATTGTCACAGGAGACCGAGATGGCACAGGGATCTGAATCATGCTTACAAAACAATTAATCGCAGTTGCAGATGTTGGGTATTTTTAGTCAGATAGATATTGGTTAGATACTTGATGTATTAGAAATGTTTGGAGTAGACAGGATGTCTAGCTCAGGCTGTTAAATGCTTAGTCATTCTCATGAGTTACTGCAGGTTGCTTATGGTCAAGGATAACTAGATAGAAAGTTGATGACTGTTAGAAGACAGGATGTTTAATTATGACAGCCCGAAGTGATATAATGTATAGGCCTGTTGTGGTTCGGGGTCTTTCATCTTTCAGCTGCCTGCGTGCATGTTGGAGGTGCAAGATACCTGAGCGTGTAATGTTAATTTTTATCTGTGTTCATTGAATAAATCAGCACTGTTTTGAAGTTACTTGGACTGCTTCATCTCTGAGTTAGCATGGTAAAAAGTACCGGATTGCAACACAGATGACCTCTTAGTAAAAATAGCTGATGGGTTACAGAGAGAAGTACTCAGATCTGCTTAAATCATTTTCCACTTTAAGTTAAACTGTATGAATTATCTGCTGCGACCTCATTTACAATGATTCTTAGTGCCTGTAAATGTCTTTGTGGAAGCCTTGTTGTTGTTTTTTTGTTTTTTTTGTGATGGTAAACAAATAAACTGACCAGAGGAGCAGGACAGTAGAGCTGCTGCTGTTTCAAGTCTTTCTTGAATCATCTGTCAGTTTTATTTTGAAGAGGTTGTCACGTTAAGACAGATAAAGCTCCTCCAATTAGATTTAGATTTGATCAAACAGTGTAACTACTTTTAAGAAGAATTAGACGAGCAGTAGAAGATTAAATCAGAACTAGAGAAATGCATTTCCTGTTGAAAATGCGTGTGGATGCTGAAGGATTGCCCTGAAAATGCCTGGAATGAATTGCTGAAAGAGATGAAGAATGAGAAGAAATGGCTGAAGTTCTTTGTTGAAATAGCTGAAAGATGAGATGCAATGCTGAACAACTGTGAAAGCTGAATAAATATGAAAGAGGAAAAGTTCAATAATTACTTTATGTAAGATGAAATCAAAAGCTGAAGTGTTAGCAGGCCTCACAAAGTAGGGAAAACAAACACCTGTGTGTGTGTGTGTGTGTGTGTGTGTGTGTGTGTGTGCGCGCGCAATCCCCACACAGTAAGAAAAACAAGTAGGGGTGTGTGTAAAGTGCCAAAAAACAGACGGAAGAGCCCATAATAAATAAAGAACAGGAAAACATTGTGGATGCCTTTCAGCATCCACATAAGAAGAAGATGGCTGACTGCAGTGGTCACTTAAGCTGGGTCCAGCGTGTCCAATTCTCTCCTGATGGCTCGTAGCTGCTCTCCTGCTCAGATGACCAGACTGTCGGGGTAAGTCTGACTCTGTGTGTGTGGGTGCTATAAATTAGTGTATCTGCTTGCATACCTACTGTTCTCATACCTATTGTGCCAGTACTATCAAAGCTTGTGACCCTGAACAGTGAGCATACATTTGGTCCCTCCTCATCCTAATGTGGAATAATCAGGAATTATGTTGCAGTTCTAGGTCAGACATAGGGCTGGGCGATAAATCGATTTTATCGATTAACTTGAATGTGTAGTTTACATCGGTTTGTTTGAATGAAAATCGGTTTTATCTTTAACATCCGCCGACGCTCCGCTCTCGGCTCCCGTAGTTCCGAGTGGGCTCAGCCCACCCCCCGCGCGTTTGCCATAGAGATAGCATGGCAGTGAGCAGGGAAGAACTCGTTCAGAAAAAAGGCACGGTGTCATCAGTAATATGGATTATTGGTTCGGTTTTGCCATGTCAGACGCAGAGCAAACAACACCCCGCTGCAAAGTGTGTTTAAAGTCTGTTGCTACCAAAGGTAGCAGTACGACCAATTTAATGCAGCACCTCGAAACAGAGGCATGCTGCCGAGTGGGAGAGATGTCGCGCCCTATGAAACGAACGAGACAGCGGGAGCCAAACGGCTTATTTTCCCGACGACCATAAAGGGGGAATAATTGCCCAGGGGCAATTGTTATGTTATGTTTTCACTGTTGACAATGGCAGGGCCAGCCATCTTCTATTTTGGCTTCTTTCTCATTGCACTTTTATCCCAGAAGGTAAAATCAAAACAAAATAAAATTTCTTTGTCATCTGCATATTTATTTTAAGTAGGGGGGGGGGAAATCGATTTAAATCGTAAATCGGATTTTTTGTGAAAAAAGGCGGGGATTTTTTTTTTTTTTTTAGGCCATATCGCCCAGCCCTAGTCAGACATTTTAACTGAACATCATTTTGTGTCTTTGAAAGCTTTATATACCAACCAGGATACTTTAAATAAAGCATAAACAGCTACTGTTTGCTGTGTTATAAAAGTTAAGTGAAAACCTGGAGCTCTGTGCAATTAATTACCTTGACTTGCTTTAGGCTTTTCTTTTTTATTGAGGTTATATAAGCATTAATTGTTAGCCGACTTGTCCTGACCCTTAGACAAAGCAGTATGTATCATCAACAGCCTGAAAACAAAGTGATCATATTGGATATAAGCCTTAACCTGTCTGGGCCAGGCCCTTATTGTGTTTTGTGGATTTTGTTATATCAGCCTTTTTTTAAGGAATGAAAATGCAGCATAATTGTCAGAGTGCTCTTTGTACAGTAAGGGGATTTAGGTATTTATCTGCTCCTGTGCAACAATTAAGAATTATACAGAAGTAATAGCAAAACTTATAATTACTGAGCACTCATTCACTGCACAATTACTCAATTTAATATTGAGCTTCCAAACCTCTGAATCTGGAAGTGAAGGAAGAAGTTGTGGTCCTTAATAACGAATTTAGTAATTTCACTGCATATAAGTATTATGTAACTGCCGTTGTCATACTTGTGTGCTCAGGTGTTTAAAAGCACCTCAGGTGAGAAGCTCATGGAGATCCCGGCCCATGATGACGAGGTTCTCTGCTGTGCCTTCTGCCCCGACAACTGTCTTCTATCAACCTGCTCTAGTGACTAGTGGTGTGCAATACCACAAAATTTGGTATTGATTCGATACCACGTAAATACAGGGCCAGTGTTGGTGATACGGGTCATTGTGTTCAGCCATATTCATAGTTTATGTCTGAGGTAAATCTTTATATGGGTATATATTTTTCAGTTCCAGTAAAATAATTCACTCAGATTTATTTCAGCTGGCTGAATATGTTCTATACCTGTCTGAATAGTCTATATTTAATCAGCCTGTTAAAATGACAACTCTGATGACTGATTCCACTTTGAAAAATAACAGTAATGCTTGGGGTGACAATCTTATT